TATGCAGTGAAGTGTTTAAATTCCTTCCTCACCTCCTTTTACGTATTTTCTTTGCGGTTCCCGTGAGGATTACATTTAACACCCTAGGGTTATAACAGCCTGACTTGGGTTTGTATTAGCTGACTTCGGCAGCTTACGAAAGCTCTGCTGCTTTACAACGTTGCTCCTACTCTGCACAGTCACTGATGTCACAGAATTACATTTGTATAACTTGTGTGTCCAGTAACATGAACTAAAGTTTTTAAATGCGTTAGTTTCTTAAGTTATATAGAAAACAGAATGTGGAGTTACAAACCGAAGTTACAGTAACGCTAGCTTTTAGACTAATAATTGCTTTTTTAAAAAATGTATTAGTGTTTTAAACCATGTAGGAACTAAAAGTGCAGTTACAAACCATTGCGACAGTGACACCAGCTTCCATAATTGCCCACGTGTTTCCCTCTGCAGAGCTTGGAGTTACTGTCTGGGGCCCTTTCCTCTCACCTGCGGGGCTCGCTGGGGCATTTCCTGCAGGCGAGTCCGTGGTGAGGAACTCCCGCAGCTTTTGTCTTTCTGGGACTGTCTTGATTTCTTCCTCACTTTTAAAGGTTGTAGGATTCTCGACTGACATTTTTCTTCCTTGAGCACTTTGAATAAATGGGCTCACGGCCCCCTCGCCTCCAAAGAGTCTGATGAGAAACCTGCCCATAATGTTCCTCAGGCTCCTTGTGTGTGACGGGTCATTTCTCTCTTGCTGCTGTCAAGATTCTCTCTCTTTCTCTGGCCTTTAACAGTCCGATTAGAAGGTGTCTCAACACGAGTCTCTTTGAGTTCATCCTACTTGGGGTTTGTTGAACTTCTTGGATGTTTATATCATACCTTTCATCGAATGCCGGATCCTTTCGGCCATTATTTTTTGAAGTATTCTCTCTCTGCCCTTTTCTCTCCTCCTCCTAGGACCCCACAATGCATATAGTGGCCCCTTGATGGTGTCCCACAGACCCCTCAGGCTCTGTTCACTTTTCTTCAGCCTTTTTTCTTCCTCTTCCTCAGCCTTAATGACCCCATTGTCCCGTCTTCAGGTTCCCGGATTCTGTCTTCTCCCTGATCAGATTCACCTCTGAATCCTGCTACTGAGTTTTCACTTCAGTTCTGGTACTTTTCAGCTCCAGATTTTTGTTGTTGTTTCTTTCTAGAAACGTTGGTATTTCCATTTTGTTCACACATCATTTTCTTGACTCCCTTCACACCTTCCTTTACCTCCTTTACCTCTTTGAGCATCTTTAAGACAATTGTGTTAAAGTCCTGGTCAAGTAGACCTGCCATCAAGTCCTTTTCAGGGACAGTTTCGGTTGATTTATTTTTTCTTTGAATGAATCATACTTTCTGTTTCTTTGTATGATTTTGGAGCACTGGACATTTGAATCTAATAATGTGGTAACTCTGGAAATCAGGTTTTCCCCTTTTCCAGGGTTTGCTGTGTTTTGTTATTGTTTCTGGTTCTTTGCTTTTTGATCGCTGTCAGCTCTCTCTGTGCTGAGGATCAGGCTCAGATGTAACCTTACTGTCTTCCCAGGTCTCTTCTGAGCCTTTCCCTAGGCGTGCCTGGTCACTTCCTGGTTTTCCCTGTATATGTCCTAACCTTTAATATCTGACTCACAAATGAGGAAAAAGAGAAAAATGAAGGAGGGGAGGAAAAAAAGTGTGCTGGCCCTTTAAGTCCCCTGGAGTCACTTCAGGAGAGGGGGAGGGGCATGTGACAATGGGACAGGAGCAGCAACTATGGTAGTTCTATTTTTAATCTTTTGAGGAACCTCCACACTGTTTTCTACAGTAGCTGCACCATCTTACATTCCCACAAACAGTGCACAAGAGTTCCAATTTCTTCACGTCTTCACCAGCACTTGTTGTTTTCTGGGGTTTTTTGACGGGAGCCATCCTGATTGGTGTGAGGTGGTGTCTCATTGTAGCTTTGATTTGCATTTCCCTGATGCTTAGTGATGTTGAGCATCTTTTCATGTGCTTGTGGCCATGGGTATGTCTTCCTTGGAAAAATGTCTGTTCAAGTCCTTTACTCATTTTGAATTTGGTTGTTATTTGTTTTGTTGTTGTTGAGTTTTAGGAGTTCTCTGTGCATTCCGGGTATTAACCCCTTATCAGATATATGAGTTGCAAATATTTTCTCCCATTCTCTGGGCGGTCATTTTACTCTATAGAAAATGCCTTTTGATATAAAATTTTTTCAACTTTCATGAAGTCCAATTTGTCAATTTTTTTCTTTCGTTGCCTGCACCTTTGGTGTCGTATCTAAGAAATTATTGCCAAATTCAGTGTTGTGAAGATTTTACCCTTTGTTTTCCTCTAAGGGTTTTATTGTTTTAGGTCTTATATTTAGGCCCTTGATCCATTTAAGTTAATTTTCGTGTATGGAATTAGGTAATTCTTTTGCATGTGGACATCCACTTTTCCCAGGACCATTTGTTGAAAAGACTGTCTTTTCCCCCATTGAATGGTCTTGGCACCCTTGTCAAAAGTTATTTGACCATATATGTGAGGGTTTATTTCTAGGCTCTCTGTTCTACTCCATTGGTCTATATGTCTGTCTTTATGCCAGTGCCACACTGTTTTGATCACTGTAGCTTTGCAGTAAGTTTTGAAATGAGGAAGAATGACTCCTCCAGTTTTGTTCTTCCTTTTCAAGATTGTTTGGGCTATTCTGGGTCCCTTGCGATTCCATATGAATATTAGAATGGATTTTCCTGTTGCTTTAAAAAATGTCATTTGAATTTTGATAGGGATTGCATTGAATCTGTAGATTGCTTTGGGTAATATTGATTTCTTAACAATAGTAAGTCTTACAGTCCATGAATGTGGGATGTGTTTCCATTTATTTATGTCTTCTTTCAACAATGTTTTGTAGTTTTATTGTACAAGCCTTTCACCTCCTTGGCTAAGATAACTCCTAAAAATTTTATTCTTTTTTTATGTCATTGTAAATGGATTTGTTTTTGTAATTTCCTTTTCAGATTGTTCATTGTTCATGTACAGAAATGCAACTGATTCATGTGTGTTGACTTTGTATCTTGCTACTTTGCTGAATTTGTTTATTAGATCTAACAGCTTTCTTGTGGAGTCTTTAGGATTTTCTGCATATAAGATCATGTAATCTGCAAACAGAGATAATTTTACTTCTTCCTTCCCAACTTGGATACCGTTTTGTTCTTGACTAATTGCTGTGGCTAGAATTTCTAGTACTATGTCAAATAGAAGTGGGGAAAGCAGGCATCCTTCCCTCATTCCTCATCTTAAAGTAAAAGCTTTCAGTCTTTCACCATTGAATATTACGTTATGTTATGTTGCTTTCATATTTGGCTTTTATTATATTAAGGTAGTTTCTTTCTATTCCTATTTTGTTGGGTGCTTTTATTATAAAAGGGTGTTGAATTTTGTCAGATGCTTTTTCTTCATCAATTGAGATAATCGTGTGGGTTTTTCCCCTTCATTTTGCTGATGTCACATACTTCATTGATTGATATTTTTACATTCAACCATCCTTACATTCCAGGAATAAATTCCACTTGGTCATTGTGTATATTCTGTTTGCTAATATTTTGTTGAGGGTTTTTGCATCAATATTCATAAGGCATTTTGGTCTGTACTTTTCTTTTGTTGTGGTATCTTTGTCTGGCTTTGGTATCAGGGTTATGCCAGCCTCCTAGAATGAGTTATGAAGTGTTTCTACCTCTTCAGTTTTTTTGGAAAGTTTGAGAAGGGTTGGTATTCTTTAACTGTTTGGTAGAATTCATCAGTGATGCCATCAGGTTCAGGGCTCTTCTTTGTCAGGAGATTTTTTATTATACATTCAATGTTCTTACTAGTCATAGGTCTATTCAAATTGTCTTCTTTTTTTCTGGTTCAGTGTTGGTAGGTTTTTTGTTTTCTAGGAATTTGTACATTTCATCTGGGTTTGTTGGTATGATTGTTTATGGTACTCACTTACAATGCTTTTTACTTCTGTAGAATCAGTATTAATGTCCCGACTTTCATTTCTGATTTTAGTAATTTGAGTCTTTCTTTTCTTAGTCCATCTAGCAGAAGTTTGTCAATTTTGTTGATCTTTTAGAAGAACCAACTTTTGATTTCATTAATTTTCTTTATTTTTCTATTCTCTCTTTTGTTTATCTCTGCTCTGATCTTTATTATTTTCTTCTTTCTGCTAGTTTTGGATTTAGTTTGTTCTTTTCCTAATTTCTTCAGTAGCAAACATAAGTTGTTGATTTGAGATCTGTCTTGTTTTATGTTTTGTTTTGGTTTTGGTTTTGGTTTTTTGGCTGCACCATGCGGCTTGCGGGATCCTAGTTCCCCGACCAGCAATCAAACCCTGGCCCTCCACAGTGAAAGTTCAGAGTTCCAACCGCTGGACCGCCAGGGAACTCCCTGTCTTGTTTTTTAACGTAAGCTGTGTAATGTAATGTAATGTAATGTAAGTTTTTTCTTTAATAAATTTATTTATTTTGGGCTGCTTTGGGTCTTCGTTGCTCTGCACAGGCTTTCTCTAGTTGCGGTGAGCAGGGGCTCCTCTTCGTTGCGGTGTGCGGGCTTCTCATTGCAGTGGCTTCTCTTGCTGTGGAGCACAGGCTTCAGTAGTTGTGGCTTGTGGGCTCTAGAGCGCAGGCTCAGTAGTTGTGCCGCGCAGGCTTAGTTGCTCCTCGGCATGTGGGATCTTCCTGGACCAGGGCTTGAACCCGTGTCCCCTGCACTGGCAGACAGATTCTTAACCACTGCGCCGCCAGGGAAGTCCCTGACTTTTCAAAACTTGCACTCAGGTGCTCCCACACTGCCATGGTCAGTACACAGGTCTATGATTTCTGGGATGTGGATTGTGTCCTGGGCTGTGCAGAGGCCCTGCCTCCCGCCATGAGCCAGAGGCAGGCCTCACCTCTGAGCATGAAGACAGGGCCAGAGCTCCTGTGTCCCCTCACGGGTGCAGGGTGACAGGTGGGAGAAGAGACCTTGCTGTGAGCCTGGTGTGGTCACCCTGGCTCACTCGGGGTCTTTTGGCAGCTGTCCCTCGACAAGGAGCTCATCGACTTCGGCAGCTATGTGGTGGGTGAGACTGCATCCCGGACCATCACGCTGACCAACCTCGGGGGCTTGGGCACCAGGTTCAAGTTTCTCCTGGCATCAGAGTGCTGTGAGATGGACGCGTCCCCGTCGGTCTTCAACACAGTGAGTGTGCTACTGCTCCTGGTCAACGCCGTGACTGCTCAGCCAAGGGCAGCATGTGGCATCTCCCACCCCGAGACACAGTCCCACGAGTGTAAAGGGGGCCACGTCGATGTGGGCGGGAGAAGGCCCAGCAGCAGGACGGCCTCCGGTCAGTCTAGGTAGAAGAGATCTGTCTCCGTAAGGAGTGCACCTAGGGCAGCAGGATGCTGTCCCGTCATACGTGTTGGCAAGGTGGTGGCCAAGTGCTCCAGGCCCTAAAGTCCCAGCCTGTGGGGACGGGCGGTCCAGCCCAGACACCCCAGGCTGAAAAGCACAGCAAACCCTGCCCCGCACATGCACCTCTCCCAAAGGTGCGAGGGGGGCCCTGGTCCTGTCACGGGAAGGCTGTGCACGTGTGCTGCTGAGGAAGCGGGAACAGGTGGGACCCCATCAGTGGAGACAACTTCCAGCACGTCCAATGGACACTGGGGGGGATTATTTGAGGGTGAGGACAAGTGCCTGGGCCCTCAGGGCTCCCCGCGAGCACCAGCCCTCTCCTGGTGGGTGTCTGTCCGGCTGGACGGCAGCTCCACCCAGGCAGTGCCCTGTGTGTCCCCCCGTGGCCCCTGAGTTGCACGCGGCAGGCACTCTGTCGGTCTGCTGTGAGCCCAGGGGAGAGGACTGGGGGTCAGTGACCTCTGGGAAAGGAGCAGAGGTGGGGTTGGGCCGCTCTCAGCCTGCTGGGATCTGAGCTGAAGCCAGGAGAGCTCGGGGCTGGAGCCTGGGGGGCCCAAGCCCATGTGGGGGAAGAGCAGGCGTCCTGGAGGAACTTGGCTGGGTGCGCACGTGCAGCAGGCTCCGGGACAGGGCCAAGGCGGAGCCCGCCTGGGCGAGAGGGGCCCTGAGCCCCGGACGAGCCTGGCACGGGTCGCCAGAGAGCTGTTGAGGGGTGCTGTGGGAGCCCGCGGCCCCCAGCCCGGATACGGCCAGGCTCTCAACGTGGCGCTCCCCGGATGGCGGGCGCGGACGGATGATGGGAAAGGCAAGCGGAAGCTGCCAGTAAAGGTGTCACGTTCTCTTTTTCAGAGCAGTAGCTTTACATGTGAAGACAAAGGTTTTGACAGTAAAGTCGCCACCAGTTTTTCCGAGCAGCTGACGGCGGGCAATGAGTCTGTGCCCGCAGATGTGCCGAGCCGGAAGGAGTCTGGAAAACTGGACATAAAGGAGAAGGAGGAGGGGCGCCCCGTAGGTGAGCCGGGCCCGCGGCCTGCGCTCAGCACGCAGCCCTGGGCCACCTTGGCAGCAGGGCCCCGAGCCCCAGCCGTTTGACGGGCAGAGGGGCTGGCAGGCCGGGTCGGAGGGCCCCAGAGGGACAGATTCCGGGAGCCACTCCAAGCACGGTTGCGTCCGGCAAAGCCCGGTTGGCAAAGCCAGGCTCGTGCCAGTGTGGTGCCAGGGGGCTGGGCGGTGCAGAATTTTTCCAGGGCTCCAGTTTTAAGTAAGTAAGAAAATATTCATACGTATTTATATATTCAACTACATACTGGTTATGGAGTGGATTAAAATTTGCATCCATATTTAAGCTAACAGAAGACTTAAAGGAAATGTGCAGCTTTGGACCACCAGGCTGGCCACAAGGGGAACTGCCCTCCTCCCTGCCCTTGGTGGCCCTTGTTGGGACATCTGAGGAGCCCTGCCTGGTGGAGGGAGGGAGGGGATGGGGAAGGGGCCGGGGGCTCTGCTGATGGGGTCGCTGAAGGCCCCAGGCTGGCTGGGGCCACCCTGAACTCCGTCCGGAAGTCAAACGCGTATAACACGTGAGGACAGTTTAAAGAACGAGGAAGTCGGCAGCCCGAGCCCAGGCGGAGCTTGAGGAGGACGAGGGCCCACGCGGCCGCGCTCGCCGGACACACCGCCTCCCCAGGGGCGTCCCTCTGACGTTGTCTTCAGCGTTTCCTTGCCTCCCTTTGCTTTTTCCCTCCACGGCCACAGTCAGAAAGGGCTGCATTTCTGCAGCGTCGGAGCCGCGGGAGCACATCCTGAGTCGTTACGTTGCTTAGCGTTGAGCTCTGTGGGGCGTCCACATGGACTGGACGGGGGTCCTCTGCGTGGCGGCTCCTCTCACGAACATGCCTCGGTCACAGGCCACCCCCACCGGCTCACATCAGGGGGATTTCACGGCGCGGGCCGTGCGCGCAGGGGCTCAGGCGGCGTCTCCAAGTGTGTGAGTCTCCCTGGGGCGTGTCTTTGGCGCATCGCGGGGGACGCGCGGCCTCACTGTTGTTACTGCATCTGTTCTTGTCCCGCGTGGCTGCAGCTGGGACTGCGCTACCCAGTGCAGCTGCCACTAGTCACATCTGGCTATTCAGATTTAAATTAACCAAAATTAAGCAATAGGAGAATTTCGTTCCTCCTTCCCAAGAGCCACATTTCAAGAGCTCACAGCCACCCGCGGCCCGTGGCTGGGTCCCACTGGGCAGCTCCGCGGGGTCGGTCTGGAGGCCTGGGAAGGGAGGCTCCCGTCTGTACTGCTCACGCCACCAGTGAGGTTGCCTGTCTTTCCAGGTGCCTGTTTACCATTTGTATTTTCTTTTGTATGAAATACCTGTTCAAGCTTTTCACCCACTTTTTTACGGGGTTGATTGTCCTTTCTTATTTAGTCATAGGAGTTCTTCCCAGATCCTGTATACTTAGCCTTTGTCGGTTAGGAGGTTGCAAATATTGCCTCCAAGTCGAAGTCGTGGCTTGTCCTTTTACTCCCTTTATGATCTCTTTTCTTAAGTCAGAGTTCTTAATTTTATTTTATTTTTTATTTATTTTTTTGGCCGTGCCACGTGGCATGTGGGATCTTAGTTCCCCAACCAGGGATCGAACCCACACCCCTCGCATTGGAAGTGCAGAGTGTTAACCACTGGACCGCCAGGGAAGTCCCAAAGTTCTATTTATTTATTTATTTGGCTGCGCCGGGTCTTAGTTGCGGCACACGGGATCTTCATTGCGGCATGAGGGATCTTTAGTCGCGTCATGCGAACTCTTAGTTGTGGCATGCGTGCGGGATCTAGTTCCCTGACCAGGGATTGAACCCGGGCCCCCTGCATTGGGAGCAAAGAGTCTTAACCACTGGACCACCGGGGAAGTCCCAAAGTTCTTAATTTTAATGTTTGCAAATCTACCCATCATTTCTTTTGAGGTGTGTGCTTTATGCCTTTATAGCAACTTTTCCCCTATCCCAAGGACATAAGACATGGCTCTTACGTTTGAGTCTGTGGTCCAGCTAATTTCTGTGTGTGATGTGAGGTAGACGCCAAGGCTCTTCTTTTTCCCACGTGTATGTCCCATTGTTCCTGCAAAACAGGTTGAAAATACTTTCCTTTCCCTGGTGGATCGATTTGTTATCTTTGTTGCAAATGGATTGAGAGTGTGGGTATACTTCTGGACTCTGTATGCTGATCGGTTGACCCATTTACCTCTCCTGACCCAGCACCATCCATCTGGATTATTGTAGCTTTAGAGTTAGCCTTGAAGCCACGTAGTGTTAAGTCACCCAACTTTGCTCTTTCTTTTGGCAAGGTATTTGCTTTGGATGTTTTAGGAACTTGCATTTCCATATGTTTTCTTTATGTATAAATTTGTTTATTTTATTTTTTATTTATTTTTGGCTGCGTTGGGTCTTCGTTGCTGCGTGTGGGCTTTCTCTAGTTGCGTCGAGTGGGGGCTACCCTTTGTTGCAGTGCACGGGCTTCTCATTGCAGTGGCTTCTCTTGTTGCAGAGCATGGGCTCTAGGCATGCGGGCTCCAGTAGTTGTGGCACTCGGGCTCAGTAGTCGTGGCTTGCTGGCTTAGTTGCTCCGCGGCATGTGGGATCTTCCCAGACCAGGGCTTGAACCCGTGTCCCCCTGCATTGGCAGGCGGGTTCTTAACCACTGTGCCACCAGGGAAGCCCCTGGGGGACTGTTGATAAACATTGGTGTGAACATGGGATGCAGGGGTGCATGGGACCCCTGCCTCGGTATTTTTCTAATACTCCAGGAAAGCATCTTTCAAAAGACCGCTTTTGTAAACTCACACGTGGCTTCAAGACCTACTTTAAATCTACAGTAATCAAGACAGTGTGGTCCAGATAAGGACACATGGATCAGCGGATCAGAACAGAGATTACAAAACGTGGAGAGAGGAGAGACGCTGGGGTGCACACAGATGGTTCTGTTCCCAGGGGGACAGAGGGTGAGTGGGTAGGGCTCCCTCCTCACCTCCTCTGCCTCCTGTGCTGGCTCAGGGGGTCAGCTGGCCTTCACCCCCAGCACCACACGTCAGGAGGGGCCGCCTTGCGAGTGGAGTTTGGGCCACCCCCCACGGGAGGTTCGTGGGGGTCCTCACATCAGCTGTGCAGCTCCCAGCGTGGGCCCCTGAGACCTGCTGGCCCAGAACAAGGCTGGTTCAGCATCCAAACTCATCCAATATGGGGCTTCCCTGGTGGCGCAGTGGTCGCGAGGCCGCCTGCCGATGCAGGGGACGCGGGTTCGTGCCCCGGTCCGGGAGGATCCCACATGCCGCGGAGCGGCTGGGCCCGTGAGCCATGGCCGCTGAGCCTGCGCGTCCAGAGCCTGCGCTCTGCGACGGGAGAGGCCACAACAGTGAGAGGCCCGCATACCGCAAAAAAAAAACAAAAAAACTAAACCTAACAGTTAACATCATACTTGATGAAAGATTGGATGCTTCTCCTGAAGGTTGGGAGTACAGCAAAGATGTTCATTCACTCATAGCTATTCAGTGCAATAAGGCAAGAAAAGGAAATAAAAGAAATAAAGTTTGAAAAGAAAAAAATAAAATCAGCTTTATTCACAGACAACATGACTGTCTATCTAGAATATCTCAAAGAATCCCCCAAAAGTTACAGAACTAGTGCGTTTAGCGAGGTCACAGGATACAATATACAGAAATCAAGCATATTTCTAGATAGAAATTAACAATTGGAAATTAAATTTTTATAAGTATCATTTATAATAGCACCAGAAACATGAACTAGTAAGTTATAAAGCTAAGAAAAAATGTTCAGGGTCTGTATGCTGAAAACTACAAAACTCTGATGAAAGAAATCAAAAGCCTCAATAAATTGGGAGATCCATGGAGCTTGTGGATGGAAAGACTCAATATTGTTAAGAGGTCAGTTCTCCCCAAACTGGCTGTAGATGAATGCAATTCTAATCAAAATCTAGCAGGGCTTTTTATGGGAATTGACAAGCTGATTCTAAAATTTATATGGAGGGACTTCTTTGGTGGTCCAGTGGGTAAGACTCCGAGCTCCCAATGCAGGGGGCCTGGGTTCGATCCCTGGTCGGGGAACTAGATCCCACATGCATGCTGCAACTAAAGATTCTGTGTGCTGCCACTAAGACTCAGTGCAGCCAAAATAAATAATAAATAAAATTTTTTAAACAAATAAAATTTATATAGAAATCTAAAGGACCTAAAATAACAAACAATTTTGAAAAAGAACAAAGTTAGAAGACTCAGACTACCTGATTTCAAGACTTCCTCTAAAGCTGGAGTAACACATAGCGTGATATGGCAGAGAGAGAGACATAGGGTTTCAGTGCGACAGGATAAAGGGTCCAAAAATAGACCCACACAAATATGCAAAGGTAATTCCTTGGAGAAAGAAAGTCTTGTCCTCAAATGAGACCTTAACAATTAGATAAACATATGCTCCCAAATTAACCTCCATCCATTCCTCTCGCTGTAAACAAAAGCTGCTCAAAATCATAGATCTAAATGTAAAGCCTAAAATCATAAAACTTCTAAAAGAAACATAGGAGAAAATCTGTGTAACCTTGGTTTGGGCAAAGATTTCTTAGATATGACATCAAAAGCATGATCCATTCTTTAAACTGTACAGTTTAAACTGTAAACTGTACATCCAAAAAAAAAAAAAACCTCTGGACTTCATCAAAACTAAAACTATCTGATCTTCTAAACAGACTGTTAAGAGAATGAAAGATAAGCCACTGAGGGCTTCCCTGGTGGCGCAGTGGTTGAGAGTCCGCCTGCCGATGCAGGGGACGCAGGTTCGTGCCCTGGTCCGGGAAGATCCCACATGCCGCGGAGCGGCTGGGCCCGTGAGCCATGGCCGCTGGGCCTGCACATCTGGAGCCTGTGCTCTGCAACGAGAGAGGCCACAGCAGTGAGAGGCCCGCGTACCGCAAAAAAAGAAAAAGATAAGCCACTGACTGGCAGAAAATATTAGCAAATCACGGATCTGATAAAGAAATGATCCAAGTAAGTCAGAAAGAGAAAGACAAATACGTATGCTGACACATATATATGGAATTTAAGAAAAAAAAATGTCATGAAGAACCTAGGGGTAAGACAGGAATAAAGACACAGACCTACTAGAGAATGGACTTGAGGATAT